TGTGGGAACTGCTTTGCTTATTGCTACTTTTATAGCCAACAGAAATCAAAAGAAGAAGAAGAAGGGTAAGTGTTTCATTATCCTTGGGAGATAATGTTTCGAGGGAAGGGAAAATGCCGCTTTTGAACTTACTTATATCAATTGCTACGTCAGCTTTAGAAGCTCATAAGCTTAAATTCTATTGACCAACTTTCTACGGATATGACAATAGTATACGTCATTTACTATTTCAGTGTTTCAATTTCAAATACTTTTATTACAATTAACAATATAAACGAAGGTCCTTAACAGTACTTGATTAAAATTTATGAGTCATGCACGTACAGAGGACCATGTATGTACTAATATTCTTATTCATCACCAAGTTGCAGTGGTGGTATTTATGTAATATACAAGAAGATGCCACTATTGAAAACAATAATAAACCATAACATTTGAGTGGAAGCAAATTTATTGATCAACAAATATGCTGTCCTGTTCATTTGTTGTTTTCAACACTGTACGGTACATGTATCATGTCAATGTTAGATGTTGAAACTGGCCATTCATTAAATGTTGAAAACTGTTGAATAAGATTTTATTATGGCTTCTGTTCAACAAGTTGCTACTTGTTAAACAGCAACGCAACCATTGTTGTGTAATCAACAAATGTTGAACTCTGTGTTGTTGATTAATGAGAGGTGATGATTGGCTCAATCATCTATGTAACTTGGGAGCCCTGTGTGTGAATAAGTTAACGTATCCTGTGAAGGTTTAAATTCTGTACTTCCTACCAAGGGGGGTTTGAAGTTAAAACAGGTTTGGCAGCATAGAATAGTCATGAAGAAGTTAGAGGGAACATATTTAATGTTATTTTCCTTTCCTTTTGTTTCTTGTTGTATCTGCATTATATTCTATTCTCAATGGATGAGACATTTTGCCATGTTAGTATGTTGGTTTCTTCTCTTGTAAATAAATTCATTGGCAGCATCAGTCCAAGCAAATTGATCTTGAAGTGTAGTTTTACAAGACAGGATTAAAAACAACACAGAAAGGAACATCTCATCACTTAAACATTGGAATCAGATTTGAAATTTTGATTGAATCTGAAGACACTTGTAGCCTTGGCAACTTTTTATATCAATAAGTAAAAAAAGTTTCCATGGAATCCCTGCGGTTCACACTTTGCTACTTTTAAAGTGAAGCCTTCCTTCTGAATATGGAATCAAATTAGTAAAAATAAAAAAATCTTTTATTAATGCTAGGTGCACCTAGGCAGCCAGAAGGGATTGACAATGTAGGAGAAGTGGGCGGAGCAAGGAGAAGAGTCAGAAATGCTCGGTCAAGAATGAATGCCAGAAGAGCGCAAGATGATGATGATTATGATGATGATGAATATGATGGTCTGTTGATATATAATAGTATGATATTAAAATATTTAATTTATGGGCCAAATTAGCCCCTTAAGCCCCGATATCTATATACAAGTTCTCTAGACTGGTCTTAAGAGAATTGGGTTTAAGATCAATGCATTTTCCATAAGGTGATCTTTTTTTTGGAATTCTTACAACCCTCTCTCTTGATTATGTATCGGGAGAAAATTGACATGGATTACTCTTTGGACTTCAACAGTTAGAGGTCCAAAAGTGGCGCAGGGGTGAATACCTCTCTCCAATGTGGCTTGTGCTTGAACCCCAAGGGCAACACCACATGTGGTTTGACATTGTTGTTGGTCTTTGCCTTGCCTTAAAGAGGTTTTTCTTTGGATACTCTGTTTTTGCTCTCTCCTCAAAACCAGCATTTTCAAATTTCAGTTTGATCTGGAATGTTAGACAAAGAACCACTTTTAGAAGTGCTACCACTTAATTGTTATTTATTCTTTTTTTAATATTATTATTAAATTAACCAATCCACCGTTGGGATTTTCTGGTGTGCTAACTCAACAAATACCGGCATTTTGAAGTATTATCACTGATAGGAGGCATTTCTTGTCATAGGTGATGGTGACGATGGAGGCTACTCAATGGGACTTGATAATCAGATGCCTGTTGGTAAGATTGGAGCAAAAAAACAGCGAAAGCTTGAGATGAAGGAGGAGAAGAGGATTTTAAGGGAGGTGCGACATACTTAGCACACACTCTTCAATTTAGTGACAAAGATATAAAAAAGAGTGTCAATGTTTTGTGGCAAATTGACATTAAAGGGTCTTTCTGTATCTAAATGTACATGACTAAACACCATTAATCTACATGTATATGGCCACACTTTTATGTGCTGGGTATAGACGCAAGATTCAACTGCCCAAAGTCTTCAAATGTATACAGATGTAAATAAAAAAGTAACACAATTTAGCCTTATTATTTAGCCTTAAGAACAAACTCAGGAGGATTTTATATCCCATGCTTGAGAGTGGATAGCCATTTCTTTGTGTTTTTCTGAACCATACAAAGGTCTCACTGTTTGCAGAGCAAAAGAAGCGCCTTCTACCTCAGTTTATTTAAGACCAGGCTGCAGACTGCTGCACTGCTAAGGATCAGTTCATTTGGGTTGATCTGATCAGAGATCCAAGAATCACTTGGATCTTGGTACATCAAATGAACAGTAGTTATCCTTTCCCAGTGTCTATTTAACAGATCTTTTGATGTGCTTTGATCCAAGTAATCTCAGATCAGTGATCCTGATTTGGATCATCCCAGTGGAATGCAGAAAGTCAACTCGTCTCTTCTGAAACTCATATTGGTGGTATCCTTTCTCTAGCAAATGGAGGCTGAACGAGAAGACAGAAAAGAGCGTGAGGCCCTCAGAGAAGAAGAAAGAAAGAGACTGGAGGCACAGAGAAAGAAGGAACAAGAAAGACTTGTAAGTACATAGTCTTTTGCATTTGGTAAAATTAACTGTAAATTCATGGAAATTACAGAAAAATACTAAATTTAACAATGTACATGTGAAAAACAATTTTTGAAAATTGTTTTTCTTGGATTCTTGCATTGGTTTCACAGTCAAGTTAAGTTCCAAATAAATAGATAATTATAACAAAAAAATAGCAAATAAAGTCTTTTACTGGTAACAGCACCACAGAGGGGTTCTTTATCTACTCTAATATTATTTTAAATTTAATTGGAATTTGGAGTTGTTGGATTTTGAGGGAAACCAGAGAATCAGACCCAGGCATGTAATTCAGTCCCATGACCTAAAATTTTTTTGGTTGGCGAAATCAAAGACCTCTTGTGATGTGGTGTCTCTATAGATATCAAATTTCGTATTTTAGGAAGAGGAGGAACGCAAAAGAAAGGAGGAACAGGAGCGTAAAGAGCATGAAGAATATCTACTATTAAAAGAACAGTTTACGGTTGAAGAAGAAGGTGTTGGCGAGACTGCTGAAGAAGTAAGGTTTTGTCATGTTTTTTTATACTTTCTAGATACAGCTTAAAAAAATAAGAGTGTACATGTGTTTTTCACTACAACTTCATTTTCCGTAGCTAGTTTTATTGTCAAATTAAGAAATTACCTGAAATATTTCAAAAGTGTTAATAATTGTGTTATGACCAATCACAGCTAAGATCAGGACATGCGAGAAAGCGACAGAAACACAAGCTAATTACCATTGTTGCTTGCAGTATAGTTTTCCTTGTAACACATTAAAACATTCTTTCCGGTGTTGATGATTTTCTGAGTTTCATTATAAGTACTAATTTGCATTTATCTGATTTATTTTAGTCGGAAGCTCTCCTAGAGGAGTTCATTACCTACATTAAGGTAACTTTCCACATGCTTGTAAAACTCAAGTTTGCAGCACTTGATGAGAAACAAGTTGCATTTGTTTAAGGTTGGCATCCGTAGCTAATAGGTACTAATTTGTTATTTTCAATGATGTACATTGTCCTTTAAAGGAAACCAAGGTAGTGTTATTGGAAGAACTAGCTTGTCAGTTTGGTCTTCGCACACAAGATGCTATTGATAGACTGCAGGCTTTACAGGAAATGGAGAGGATAACAGGTATACTTATTGATTGGCTGTTGTCTTTGTAATCTGTAGTTACTATTTCAGCGTGCATTATGATGAGGCAAAAGTTCCATGGGGAATGGGCAATTCCAGAAAATATCCATACCCAACCACGGACGGCTTCCATGTTTTATCCCCCCGTTGCCTTCGGAAATTCCAAAATGTGTTACCCCCCCATGCCCTCAGAATTCCATAATCGTGAACCCCCCCTCCCCTTCAGAATTTCCGTTTTTTTGGAAGTACATTTTCGACTTAGCAACGCCTATATGAACAAACGAACATGAATTTATGCCTCCTCAAGGCTGTGATCTAGCGGCGCCAGGCGACAAGCTTTACTCTAACCTATCGCTAGTAGCCAGGCTGTGCAAACTCCTTTTTAGGTCCGAATTTGGCTATAAAAATAAACACCACTAACGGCAATTTTACTCCTCTTTGTTTTCTTGTGCTGTTTTGACGTTTACAAAGCAAAATAGCTCAAATTCAGACTGTTAAAATCTTTCGGCGGTCAAATATACCGTCGAGTCGTGTTGCGTCCTTTTATACGTCATGTAGTGTGCACGAAAAGTGTTCTACTCTGACAGGCGTTCCTTGGAAGCCAGGGACTGGTGCGAGTTTTTTTACTGTTCATCGGACGGGAGTAACAAGAAACTTGCAAGCAGTAAGATACATATTCAGTTTTTTTTTTTCATGTGACAAGAAATTCATCAAGGTTAATGTGAAACCCACGTTTTACTGTTCACTTCTATAAGTTATGAGCGTGAACACGTGTCTGATCTATCGATGCTTGTCTTCTGCTTCCGCGGTCATACGTTCGTGGTTTATTTACGAACTACAAAAGTCCACAACAATAGCGTTTTCAAGGAACTCACTCTACACTTTCTACTCCAGAAATCCCACCTGTGGAATTCCCCCATGCCTTCGGATTTCCAATCATAAATACCCCCCATGCCCTCAGAATTCCATAATCTTGAACCCCCCCTCCCCTTCGGAAATCCTAAAAGCCGTCCGTGGTATGGTATGGATATTTTCTGGAATCGCCCAATATCAATCATATGAAACTTCAAATTACACATTTTTGACACTATCCTACCTCCTAGCCCCAACCAGGGCAAGCATTTATACCCTAGCCTGAGAAAACATCTGACATTTCTAAACCCCACCACTGGTTTCCCTGCAAAATGAAGTCTGAGGAATGAGTGCAGAAATTCCAGATTGAATTTTATTGCAGAGAGGGTGAAGTGTCAAAAATTTTTGTTGTTGATAGTCATCGGTGTTAAGCATTGCCACTATCATCCTCATCATTTTCATGATCATAATTTGTACATGTATGCCTTCAGACAGGTGGTTGTGTTGACCAATGCTGAAGATAAATAGGTTCTTCCAGGTTAACCAGGGATCTCCATCATGTACTGCACTGATAAAGCCCTCCAGTGTTGTCCACTGTGGGCGTTTATAAGCATTGCTAAACTGGATGTTGCTACATGTAAAGTTGACTCCAGAAAACTCAAACCCTTGCTAACTCAAACCTCATGCTAACTCAAACCAAAGTCAATTTCCCCTGGATTTCCCTCATACATGTATTGTAATTTTCCGTCAGTAACTCGAACCCTCGATAACTCAAACCTCCCGCTAAAGCAAAGTAATTTTTGTCTCCCTTCAGATCATTTAACTATATATTTCTACCCTTGATAACTCAAAACATGTTTTAAGCATGTGACAAGTGAAAAAAAAGTTCACTGTAGTCTGAAATGTTGGAAAAAACAAAACAAGAAAACACAATCAAAACAAGAATTCTTTATGTCAGTTCTTTGTTTCACTTTTTTGTCACTCGAGTTCAAATTCAACATCCATCTCAGAATATTAATTAATCAAGTTTTGTTGCTTGATTCCTTTTTCAAAATACTAATCTGCATCTCTTGCTGTCCATGAGGTGTCCATCATGGTTGCATTCCCTCCCCATCCATTTTCTTATTTCCTTATTCCCAGTTATTTTCTTCGAACTCCCGATAACTCAAACTTTTTTTGATTTCCCCAGAAGTTTCAAGTTATCAGGAATCGACCGTATTTTAGAATCCATTTCTTTTCTTCTGTTTAGGTGAAGCTATTAAATTAAACTTTTTTTTTCATTTAAACTCCTCTTTCAGGAGTGACAGATGATCGTGGAAAGTTCATTTACATATCACCAGAAGAGCTCCAAGCTGTAGCCAAGTTTATTAAGCAGCGTGGACGTGTTACGATCAGTGAACTTGCAGAAAGCAGTAACACTCTCATAAATCTGCATACAGATAAGTCTCACACAGAAACTCCAAATACTGCTCAAGTATCAGCATAGGTGCATTTTAGTTTTGACAAACAATTGATAGCATCAGGTTGTGAAAAGAGGAAAAATGTATTTCAATACATCAAGTGAAAAGGCACCAGGCTTTTACCCACAAAGACTTTCTGACCATTACCTGCAAGTTTTTGAACACTAAATGAAGCACACAACCTTATTTGGGATTATACACCTTGTATAGTCAACTGTCATGAAATATTATCGACTGTGACTATCATAACTCATTTGATAACAGTGCCTCATTCAAAACAAGTTTACCGTTAGAAAAGATAAGTCAACTTGATGCATTATCTGCCGAGTCTTGTGCCAATCTTCATATTTTTATAGACAACGCACTATCAAAGAGCAGTAGAGAAAGACAGTGATGTATTAAATTTCTCCCCAAACCCTTTTATAAGGTGGTATATGGGTATTTTTCTGGAAGAACTGAGTTATTCTCATTATTAATATCATTGGAACTCCACGCATTGCAAGTGGAGCACCATACCTAAGAAAATTAAATTTTGGTAATCTATCAATCCGAGAAAAATTAATTTAGAAACTATGTGACCGTGTGTCCGTCCGTCCATCTGTCTGCACCACAGGGAAAGCAATGTGAAATGTCAAACTTACTAGCTAGTGTGGAAGCCGGTTACTTGTTTTTAACTTGATAATAGACATCCATATTATGGGCAATTGACAGCTGTCCAAAAAGGTATCTGTGGACCATTAACATGACTGTATTCTGGGCTCAGGTGCCAACTCATCAAGGTCACATGTTTTTTTAAGTTTTTGCCAACCAGTTATTAGCTTTTAATTGATCGCAGGCTCAAGTTCATGTTTTTCAGTCACATGGTTCTCCCCTAAAGTTAAGTATAGATTTGTGGATTTCTTTGCAATGGTTTAGTCCAGTGTCCGAAGTAAATTTAAAATGCATAAATGGGAGCCTCCCTTTTAACTCTGGCTAAATCTATATAAGAGACAAGTAAATGGAAAAGTAGCGGATGTACTTCTGACACTGTATTTAAAAGGTCTGGCATATACAGCTGTAGTTACAAAAAAAATAATGATCTAATAAAATATTATTGAACAGTCCTATACTCTTGTTGAAGTTGCAAGTACCAGTTACAGTAAAAATACTGAAAATGCAATGGTTATTTTATACATGTTGTGAATAGCATGTCAAATAGATTAAATTACAGTTAAAAGTTATTACGTCATAAAAGGACAAGTAGCACATTAAAAATTTTAAAAATTAAAATGAAACATTTCAGCAGATTTGGGCTAAATGATCAACTTTTCATACTATTGCAATAAATAGTTAGCCTGAAATTCATCCGATTGCTTCGAGTCGTTTTCTCCTCTCAACAACGTCTGAATCGACCGGCCGTTAATGCCGTCCAGTGACGTCACTCACTACCCGAAAACCGGGTAGTGATTTTGATTGGTTGATTGTCTAAACATTCGCATAATTATGTATAATTATGAAAAATTTTAGCGGGATTGTCGCTTGATTTTCAGCGGATCGCATCCCTGGCATTCTTTCGTGTAGTTCAAACATTTCGATAAGCTTAATCTTTATCTTAAACAGCAAAATTGCCCTTGCCTACGAAACTGAAATGCTAAATTGAACTGCGAATGAAGAATCATTGAGGAGAGTCGGTAGGTTTTTCATTTAGAGCCGCTTTGTGGTTTCGGCGGCCGGTGATTTTGTTTACGCGAAGTTTTCTGAGATCAATGTTATAATCTTCTTGCTATTTTCACCGTCAAGTGCAATGATTCTGTTAGCTTTTCTCTCTTGTTTCCTTGTTTTTTTTCTTCGCTAAGGACCAGATAGCTTCTTTTCAATTATAAAGCAAATCATTGTGTTTTTGAACTAAGTGTTTCGTGTTTGTGTTTATTTCATTGCGTGATTGCGACCGAGTTTGATTATAGAATTCAGTACAACCGGTTCAGAGTTGTACTGCATGCAGTTGGTAGTTTGAACGTTAAACATGAATTACGATGGAAAAAAATAAAGCAATTCTGTGTCATGCAGACATTTCCAAACGATATTTCTCTGGTTGCCACTTGAAAATCGTGTTTTACTTTTTGCATGAATTAAAGCAAAGGTCAAGGAGTAGTGACGTCACTGGACGGCATTAACGGCCGGTCGATTCAGACGTTACTGAGGGAGTAATAACGACTCGAAGTAATCGGATGAAATTCAGGCTAATAAATAGTTCAATTTTTCAATAAATAGATAAAAAAATTAAAGTACATGTACCAACTGACAGCATTTGGCTGGTTTAAAACACTAATAATCTAGCAAGTGTTCCACATTACAATGTATTTTTTTTAAAAATCTGATACTGTTGTTATTTCTCTATTCTAATTAGGAAAACTGATAGCTACTTAGAACATTTTCTTCTGGCATGGCAGTCAAGGTTTTAGCCAGAAGGGTGTCCAGCCATCTTATGGACAGCCTCTTTAGAAAGAAATACAAGGAAAATTCACTATGTCTTGATCTCTTATAATGTTTGGGAAAACATGCCTTCTGGACGGCCAGTTTTCAATGTCTGGCTAAAAACCTGATGGCAGTATTCTCTGAAATAACATAACTCAATGCCAGGAGATTATCCTCATTTTACAATGCAGCATTCTGTAGTCTTCTTCATCATTGTGCATGTATTCTGTCCAATTTGACATTGATCTGATGCAGATGACAAAGAATGCTCATCTTCTGCATTGAAGTCGACTATCATCATCTACTATCATCTTCAGGATAACCTTCTAAATGCCGTACATCTACAAATTTGGCAAAACCAGCTCTTTTTATTGCCTCTATGCCAATGTCTCTGAAAAAAATAAGATAAATCGTATGATAAACAATTTAAAAAATAAACTCTTTACCTTGGATGTAAATACGTGGGATTTGCTCAAATAAATGAATAGATTTATTAATTAATAATGCAAACAATAACTAGCTGATATATTAATGGCAAATACTTAATGTCTGCAATATTATCAGGGTACTGAGTAAATAATATTATTATTACTACTTATAGGCAGTACATTTATGTACGTGTTTGTTTTTTGTTAGGCTCTTGAGAGCAGCTTTTACTATTGATATCAGACACAATGAGGTGGCTTGAGAAAAGGCACAGACAATTTGTAATAATGAATGAGACCCTGTTTTGAGCATTAATAGCTTCTCAAATGGTCAATGATAAAATGATAAAATCAATGATAAAATATTAAGGTTAAAAAAGTTATTAGATTTTCCATCTTCAAAGTTTTAATGACGGTACATCCCTTTGTTTTCTTATCACAAGCTATAATTTTAATGGTTTGAGATACTTACGAGTCTTCAAAGGCCCAACAGAATTGCGGCAACACTCCCAGCTGGTTGGCTGCTGTCAGAAAGGCATCCGGACTGGGTTTGGCATTCTTGTAGTCTTCATTTCCAACAATTACATTAAACAGGTCTCGAATACCAGTTTCCGTCAATGCTGTACAGAGAAAATTAATAAAATAGAATTCACTAATATAGAATAATACAACATTTTTGAGCTTGTTTTAATAAGTATTTTTGATTTTTACCAGGAATTCCAAATGAGTACGTAAGAGATACAAAATCAAAAACACATGGATCATAATTTAGATGATATGAAGTTAACTGGAACCTAATTGAAGTTTCTAGCTTAAGTGGCTGAATTAATGGTAGTATAAATAAAATGTATAATCGATTTGATTTTGTGATTCAGCCCTCGACGACTTCTACGAAATTTCCATCAGAACACTATCATACATAAATACATAATATGGATACTCTATGGTTAACGACAAATCCATCTGAAAGAAGGATTTTTCCAGTGTCTATATCCAGCATCAGGTTTTTGCTGGGGTGGGTATAGGGGTAGTCTCCCTCACAGTTAAACTTCCTTAGATAAAACTGCTACAGTCAACTCTCAATAAGACGGACACCTTTTCCAGCACTATGTGTCCATCTTTGAGAGGTGTCCATCTTATAGAGAGTGAATTGAAAGGGGTAAAGAAAGGCACGGACCAACTCTAGGTGTCCATTTTAGTGAGGGGTCTGTTTTATAGAGGTGTCCATTAAGAAAGAGTTGGCCGTACTGCAGTAAACTGCAATGCTGGGGCTTTTGCCAGTGAGGGCTCCAGTAAGCAGCAAAGCTGTGAAAGTGCACTCAAACAATTTCTCATTGTTTCCACCTCATTCCCTCACCAAAATAGACAAAATAACTGTCAGTTTTCTACCTGAGGGTATGTATCACATAGTTAAAGACTCAGTAAGTGAAGGTATAGACTAGCAGAAAATGATTCTTTTGTAATTGTGGCGGAATGGAGATTGCCTCAGGAGCCCTTGAACTTTACTGCTTTCAGGGGTTGTTGTTTCAAATCCCTATTATATGGATTAGCCAGCCGCAGCTTTCCAAAGATAGAAGCCAATGATCGCGGCGTGGACTTTGAACCCGAAAAGAACAATGAGATTGAATCGAATTATCAGATTCTTTGTAAAACATGTAAATACGCCCTAAAGCTTGTGTTTAAATTATCGCCAAATAATATCCTAAACAGAAAAGCTAGAAAGAAATTGAAGGAATACTTCCTTTTAGGAAGTAACCTCTCGCGCAGGAGCCAAAAATTTATGAAAAACGAAAAACAGATTCACCCTTGACCTTCCCATCGTCCACATCGTACCTTGTTCAACTTGAGCGCGTGAGCTACCAGACGCTACAGCGGTTGGTATTCCAGTTCTCCTTGCTTCCAAGGCAAATTGAACAACACAGGGTATCGCTCTGACAGATTTAAGTCCATTTAGAAAGAAAGCCTTCTTTCGTGCGTACACTTCCATAGGATCAAGAACGATCCCTTGTTGATTTGCTAGTTCGCGGATAATTTCTCTACCCGGAACTCCCGCGAGCGCGTAAAAGCTTTCCTTATTAAATCTCAAGCCCGTTTCTCTACAAATAGCACACCAAGCGCTCCAATGTAAGGGCATAGTGTTCAGTAAAGTTCCATCACAATCAAAGATCAGGGCCTTGGCTTCCACAGGTGAATGCATTGTCGATACAAACTGTAACTTCCCGCAAAAAAAGGCGTTAGAAGGTAAACAAAGAATTCAAAGAAGTGATCACGACGTGTTTTCAGCTTATAAGCAACAAATCCCTCCGCTTCAGACAGAAGACGTCTTGGTCAGTGATCCTACAACGACGTTTTTAATACCCCACAGGAGGCGAAAGTTTCAATCAAGTTTCCTGAGTTGGTCGATCCACTGTGTTTATCCTTATCCTGTATCTTTAAGCTTGAGTTTTCAACTGTACTTCTTGATATTTCAGAAGTTAAACGATCGAACCTGACTGGATTTAGAAGTGCCTCATGTCACGACTCTGTTCATTTTTACCCGGTATCAACAAAATGAACTTTCCGGTCAATGCAATTCTAGAATGTTGTTGAGATCATGAATGAATGAATATTACAAAAAGGCATGGTTACTGTCACGGATATTTTAAAAACATGAATGGAACACTAGTGAGACAAGGACTTTGTTTTGTGGGATCCTCGGATCGGAAACGTAGTACAACTTATAGACAACCTCTTTAAATCCGAACGGTAGTCAGATTTTACTTACAGGGGAAATTTTTTTTTGCAGTGTAACTGGCGTTCACGCGTTGGCACGGTACTAGACGCAGGAGGGCTCCTTCAGACGTTACTTTGCTGTTTATTACTTTTTTTACTTCAGCTGTGATCTCATACAATAGGTACATTTATATTTCTTTTTCAAGTAAGAGATTGGAATGTTTCGGTTCCCTTCTTCGTTTTGCTGTTATGCATCTAGATATATATAAATCGAGACCGTCACGACCACCCTATTTTACGTAATCATGCACGTCAATGCCACACGCAAGGAACAGTTAGGTGTCACGCACCATATCGTGATCGTGCGACCAGTCGTTTACTTTATGTTGCTACATAATATTTTACAATGGAACACCGATGATAAAGCTAAATACTTTTGATTTCTACAACATTTTCCATCAGGAATCTAATTTCATTGACGATCTTTGCCGGTCACGCGCCGGCCGGGGTGTTCGACGTAAATCTGCGTAAATAGCACTACGTTGAAAGGGTCAATCTGTCAACAGATAACTTAATCTGTTTTGCATCCGGTTTAGGAGCTCTGTGAAAGCGTGTTTGTTTATTTGTTTTTAAAGGATAAAGTCATAGAAAAGACCAAAACATTTTAAGTAAATATTTAAATAAACCCTTGATAAATAAATTATATTGTTGTAATCTTACATTAAAATATTAGGTGAGTCACTTGAAATCTTTGGTACGTTGAAATATTCCCAAACAAGGAAAAATGTCTTACTATTCACTACACTCATTGATATCTTCCCACCCAGATGTCCTGAAAATCTTCCTCGAGTTCCGTGTGGGAGGCTACTGAGGTACAGTATTCGTGATCATTTTACGTGGGACTCGGTGCTACCCAAAATTCTTCGACTAGGAGGATGATAGTAACCAAGTCACGGATTAGACTTGTTGTTTTGTAATAATATTATGTACAAAGTGACTTTATAGCTAAACTTTTTCATGTCTGTAGTAAATTTATTGCTAATTTTGAACCAAGAAAAAGAGATCAAAAGTACCAACACAGCCCCTCCCACCCTCAGAAGTAGCCCATGTTTTCTTCCCCCCCCCCCCCNTTTTACAATGGAACACCGATGATAAAGCTAAATACTTTTGATTTCTACAACATTTTCCATCAGGAATCTAATTTCATTGACGATCTTTGCCGGTCACGCGCCGGCCGGGGTGTTCGACGTAAATCTGCGTAAATAGCACTACGTTGAAAGGGTCAATCTGTCAACAGATAACTTAATCTGTTTTGCATCCGGTTTAGGAGCTCTGTGAAAGCGTGTTTGTTTATTTGTTTTTAAAGGATAAAGTCATAGAAAAGACCAAAACATTTTAAGTAAATATTTAAATAAACCCTTGATAAATAAATTATATTGTTGTAATCTTACATTAAAATATTAGGTGAGTCACTTGAAATCTTTGGTACGTTGAAATATTCCCAAACAAGGAAAAATGTCTTACTATTCACTACACTCATTGATATCTTCCCACCCAGATGTCCTGAAAATCTTCCTCGAGTTCCGTGTGGGAGGCTACTGAGGTACAGTATTCGTGATCATTTTACGTGGGACTCGGTGCTACCCAAAATTCTTCGACTAGGAGGATGATAGTAACCAAGTCACGGATTAGACTTGTTGTTTTGTAATAATATTATGTACAAAGTGACTTTATAGCTAAACTTTTTCATGTCTGTAGTAAATTTATTGCTAATTTTGAACCAAGAAAAAGAGATCAAAAGTACCAACACAGCCCCTCCCACCCTCAGAAGTAGCCCATGTTTTCTTCCCCCCCCCCCTCAGAAATATTCCAAAGATCAAAGGGTGCCGACACAGCCAACCGCTCAGGTACCCCTTGGAAAATCTCATCCAAAGGGGGAGAGGATGTGGTTAATAAATGGAATGGCCCAATTTTGCCCATATCTAAATTTTTAATGATTATTATTTTCAGACAATTTGTAAGGGAAAATTATTGACTACAGCCTATAATAAAATTTCGGGAGAAAATAAAACGTTAAAACTTTAGTGTCCATATGTCTTCATTTATTTTTCATTCTGGTTGCAGCACCTTAACAAAGAGTTCATGAAAATTAAAGGTGAAACTTAAGCCCCTATGTGAAATTTTCAAATAGGGAGACGTTATATGCTGAGAGCAAAAAAAGATAAATACTTATTTGATAGCATAATTTACATATGACCAAGAAAGTTAGCATTTATTTATGAAATAAAAGCAGGCAGATTACAGCAGTAGGACATAAAAAATTCCAGTGTCTATATTACAGACTGTGTAAATATTTTTCTAGCAGTATACCAACTATGTAAAATTCCAAAAAGAAACTTGTGTAACAATTTCTAGGAAATATGTCTTGAACATAATACATGTATTGCCCAGAGGTAGGATAATGTGAATGTATAGCTAAAAAATTATTTGAAGAATTTTTTTTCCGTAAAATCCTCACACACCACTTTTGAGAGTTACAAGAGATCTAAAACGCCTGCCTCATTGCTATCAGTCCAGAAACCCCACGAGTTTTTATTGGTGTGAATATTTTCCAAAACCCTAAAATTAATTGATGTTTTTGCAATAACCATTACTAAAACTTAAATAAATTATTAATATTATTTCCCCAGAAGAAACATTTTCATTTTTCCCATTTGTTGACCTTTTCTCCATTTCTCGTTTTGGTAATTTTTCTCTTTTGTACTTCTCTGATGAATGTCATCAAAACTGGTAACTATTATAGACAATACTGAACTTATGCAACAGGGCAGGAGAGCCAGGAAAGAAGACAGCAAACCTTGTGTGACAAGCGTGACAATAATTTTGTTCCAAATAATTTTCCTCCAAATCTCACTTTCCTTTACACAGATCATTTTGTAGAAGACCAGACAACATTAACATTAAGTAAACTGATCGTGGATGTAACACTCAAGTAATAGCGTGAATGGTCACAATTGTCACAAAAAAGCACCTTGCTTCTCATTTTTCTGCTGTCCAGGCGTCCAGTTGCATAAACTCACTAACTAATATTATTATTGTAAAACCACAGTCCCTCTTCTTAAATAACTACTACTTTAAAAGCATTATTTTTCTTGTGGTGTCCTTAAAATACGTAGCTTGATCTAACAAGCAATACTTACTTTTTTCAAAGAAAGCAACAGTACTCGGGCGGATCCAGGATTTTTTTTAGGAGGGGGTGCACTCATCTCTTGCTCTACTTCAACACCAATAAACCACATAGTTTTTTTTTTTTGCAGAATACCAGTTGCATAAGAAAACCGCAGGTCATCTCAGGGGGGAGGGGAGGGTGCGCACCCCCTGCACCTGCCCCCTAGATCCGCCCCTGATACTTTTGCGACCCCCCTCTTTTCTCTTTTTTTGTGGGAAGATGTGCATGCATTGGCAAGCTATTACTTTTCAAATTTTTCTTACAAAACTGTACAAGTTGTATGGATATATAGGATAGCAGTGCAACTTCAGTATGATGCACTCACTCTAGTACACTAAATTAAAAAATTTAAAATAATATTATGACTATAATCACAGAAAGCAGTGATCTTTTTCTTCATGGGCTTTTTTCAAGTTTGAATGGACCCTTTCAATTTATTAATGGAAAAAAACAAGGATTCAAACCTCTGAAATTTGTGACATCGGAATAATTTTCTTTGCAAAAAATAATTAATAACATTTGTCTTTGTGCTTCGATAGCACAAAAATTACACGTACTACCTGCATTGGCAGATAATGGTTTGAATGATCACCTTCCAACAGAAACAGTTATTTGAGAAGAAATCAATTAACTTTCAAAAAAAATGTTACTGCAGGTGTCTAGACTATTCCAAAATAATTTGATTTTAATAATTAATAATACAAATACCTGACTTCATTTAGTTTTAAAATAAAACATATAAACACCTGTCGTCATAATGAAGTTGCACTAAACCAATAGAAGAGTTACAGTCCAAAGGGACTATGCCACGCTATTTGCTATCTTTTTGAAAAGCTAAAACTTTTTTGGCATCAATGGAACTCCAAAAATAATGGTCCACAGTTTTGTTATTTCAGCATATTTTTAGGGACTGTGAAAGTGTTTTCTGTCGTTTGTTCCGAAAAATGGTAAGGATGGACTTGGATTGAAACTTTAAAAAAGTTACGCCTGTAATAAGCTATCGCTGTAAAATTACCAAAAAATGGAGAAAACTGGTTAGTGCTCCCTGATAGCCTCCCTCCCTGTTTGATATTTCATAAATCTTCACAGGAGCATTTTGTTTAAGGGTTAAGGCATTATGACTTCAATAATAATAATAATAATAATAACGAATATTTATACAGGATAGCCCTTCAGTGCAAGAGCACTGTTATCAAAGGGGTCCTGTCATAAAAACATAATATAAGGATAAAAACTAAAATAAGATAAGAATGACTACGCAACTAACTAACTACACTATACAAAAAATGATCTAAAGACTCCCTAAATAGTATCCTACAGCTAATTTGCTTGATTTTTAAAGGTAAAGAATTAAAAGCTGAAGCGCCTAAAAAGTAAAAACTTTTCCGAGCAAAGTCAAGTTTCACTTTCGGCAAAGCAATGGTGGT